ATATATCCACCAAAACCTTTTGATGGCCTAATATAAAATTATAACTTTATGTGAAACCTTAAATCTAACTCACAAATTTGAATGACTAAAATTAACTTGAATAAAGAAGCAGGTGTAAAAATTGAGGATGCTTAAATATCTAGAAATGAATCCACCCTATCAAGTAGCTGGGCTGTGGCTGGGACTGCAATACCATAATAAGTTTTTACATTTCAATGTATAAATGACAAAAAGGAATGTTCATCAAACTCAAGCTAGTTCAAAAAGTGGACAGATATCAAAGATTGGAAAAATACTTCAAATTGTTCCACAACACAAATATAGTTACTCAGCCTTCCTCTGAAGATTTGCTCAAGATCAGCTCAAAACTGCAAGTGTTGAAAATGGGCAAGACAAAAATAAATCAGGAAAGCTCAGAAGAATTAAGTTTTGAAGGACAATTTCAAGGAAGAGGAGTTTTCTTTCAGGGATGTCCTTGCTGAGCCTGGTAACCAAACTAGGTTTGGGTCACAGGTGTACAGAAAATGTTTCTCTATTTTCCCCTTCAGAGGACAAGCTAAGTGAGTTTTAAAAATGTTATTCTGGTGTCACTCTACAATTTTTTCCAATACTTCTAAGCTAGTTTTTGAACTAAAGTACTAACAAATTTGGATAGTTCTGGAAATACATGGCAGAACCTCAGAAGAGGATAGAAGCATGAATCTAGGGGGGGGAAATGCCTTCAGTCAAGTTTTTTCAAATTGTTTTGCGTTAAACTCATTTTTTCACTATAGGAATCGAAATTTATAATATTTTACAGGCGAAGAAAATTTTCATCAATGATCAATTTGACAAAATAATGCAAGTGCGCCAAGAAGATTTATCTGTAAATCGAGTTCAGGTACACCAGAAAAAATTCTGACAGAAATATAGCATTTGGCATAGTTTTTTCTGCAAATTTTTTTTCTTATGCACTCACCCCAAGAAAGGAATTGGTTTTAGAAGAGCCCTTCAAAATGTAAAACCAAATCACGGTTCCGTGGAGTCCAAGAGTCACCAGGTGCAACACAACAATCTTAGCTCTGGGTTTTATATCCGATCCGAATTTCTCCGCATGGGCACGGAAATTCAGTTCCATTCTGCCAAGTTTCTCCATTGATTTGCCCTTGTAAATATTAGCACACAAGCAAACAATGAACCCGATGGTAAGCAAGGAGTAGAGCAAATATCCTCCAATTGCCCACGTCGACGAGGAATTCTCCGCTATTCCGACTTCTTCCATGAATTCCCTCCATCCTAAATTACATACATTTAATAAATTTGAGTAATTCCGAAAAACAGGGCTGACCTTTTCTCAAAATTGATCATTCATTTTATGATACTGTACTGTGTACCTTCGTTGATCAAGTTGACCCACACACCGAAGTAAAACACGGAAATTAAATTGCAAACAGTGAAAATGAAGCCAAATGACAGCAAATTGAATTCCGGGACTCCAGAAAATATGTTTCTCATCGGAAATAATCCACAAACTATCATTGGCACGTGGAAGAACCTGGAAATGGTGTCCAACTGTGCACAAACTTTGACTATTTTCTTTTCGACCTCCATGTTGCGAATTCAGCACTGAAATAAGTGTGTGTATATCGGGTAGCATTATTTCCCCTTTCCACTTTTTGCTGTTTTTGGAACATTGGTTGTGTTATCTTATCTTCAGAAAAAAAAGGCAACAGATGGGGTTAATGGGTTGAACAAGATGTCAGGAAAATCAATGCAGCATTTGCATTTCCGTCAGCTGCCTAGAAAATGTTGCTGCAAATGGCTTTCATCCTGCATGAGTGACAATTTTTAGCTTTATTATCTGTTGGGGACAAAAGTTGCCACAACTGTGGGGTTGCGTACACGTGGCATGACCCAAGCATAGCATCCTTGCTCAGGCCACGCCAACATCCAATGTAGCGGCCCACGGACCCAGAAGCGGATTGGCACCTGGTTTACCACAATGCGGCAAACTGGGTGATTAATGATAAGATCAGGAGGGCGGCGGAAGCCCAGCAAAGTCCCCAAAGACTTCACCTCTTGGAGAGCATTGCCTGACAGCGGTTATTGGTTTATTCCTGCTCAGAGATCTGTCTTGTTTGATTGACATTTAAAAGTGTGTGTGAAAGTCTTATAGATTTCCTTCTGCGGTTGCCTGTGGGTCAGCTATTAAAGCGTGCTACTTTAAGGAACTCCCTTTTGGAGGATCCGGCCATTAAAGGCTGAACGTGACTCACTTCATTTTCCTAATTATTTGTCAATACCGGCCTGACAACAACACAAGAGTTGACAAAGATGCTGTAAAAGAATTGAAAAGTTTGAGAAAGTAAAACACAGATTCAGCCTAGGACTGGGGCCGGGAATTCTTGGTGGAATCCCTAAGTTGAATTTAAAATATATTTCAGATGTCCCAGGCAAAATATTTAAACAGAATCACAAGACAAGATAAAATTGTTGAACACAAAATAGCTAAATCGCAAAACCTCTCAGAGAACCTCAAGTGCACTGCACAGCAGCAAAATCAGACTGGTGATGAATTCAGGGATAAAAGGGGTTTTTATTAATTTCTTCTCTGGTCCTTGATCAATGAGGCTTGATCAAGGACAGAAAAATCTTGGAGGCCTGGGATTGGCTGATAAAACTGTCATCAAAGACGTCTTGGCGCCAAGACACTCAAATTTTTTGGGGGAGGGGGAAAGTCATTGGCGGCTTTCATCCGTTTTTTCCACATAGGTGGTTTTCCACCCATTTAAATATTTCAGATTGATCCTTTTTATGAGGGATGCGCAGCAAGTCCCCAACATTATCTAAACAAAAATTCAAGGATCCAGAAAATTTATTGTCCAGAGAATTTTGTTTTGGAGTGATAGTCATGGTATGTAGATAGATTTGTTTTGCAGAGAGAATTTAATTGTGGAGAGCATAAGGAACCAACTTTTAGGACTTTCTTATTGAATTCAAAATACGGTAGATTGTTGTGAAAATACTTTAAAAGTTTTGCTCAATATACAGTATTTCATTTATTGCTTGGAGTCCACTGTTCCTTCATTTAGCTTGTAGAGTAAAGTCAAATTAACCATGGATGGTTTGTAACATATTTCATGAGCAAATGTGTTCTCACTTTTGAAAAGTGAGTTTAATATTGAGGAAGAGGAACTTGGTTCTGAGAAAAAGGAGACTTTTCTAATTTTCTGTACATATTCCCGCCATTATGCATGGCTATATGGTGTAAATGGGAATACTTTCCTTTTTTTGCAAATATTTGCACAGTGCAGTAAGTGGAAATTTGGGTTTGTCATCCACTGGCACAACTGGTTCACAGCAGATGAGAGACAAAACCAGGCTCCTCTGGGGACTCATTATAGGGCTTTATGTTCCTGGTTTTGAAAAGTTGATAACATGGAAAGGATACTTTCAAGTGGTCGTCAATCTTTTCAAATTGTTTTATTGCTTTATTGTTGAACATTTCTGTTTGTAGATGAGAGCACTGAAAAGTGGCATTGACATTTCTTTCTTTGTGGCTAATATATGAACATGCTGGGTGATTATACTGAAATCTAAGCTGCATTGATTTTATTTTAGAGTATCTTTTTTCCTAGTGTGAGGAATTTTTGCAGCAAATGAATCCTGAGGGTCAAGAGACTTGCAATCATCTTTGTAATGATGGCTGGAAATATACTGTATTTGGAAGTTTAAAAAAATTCAAAATTAATTCATTTCCAAAAGTTAAATTCCCTCAGAATATTTCAAAAATCACGCACACAAACAAGCATGAAAACACACACACACACACATGCACAAACACAAGCAGAAATACAGGTGGACTATAAAAAAAAATTCAAGGGACCAGAAAACATTGTAATCGGGATCATTCTGCTTTAGAGAAACCCAGTAAGGCCTATATTATGGTGAAAGAACCCAATGAGGCCAAAAAAGTTTGTTGTACAGAGAATATCATTGTAAACAAAATCTTTGATGAGATGAGAGTCCACCTGTACTTGACACAGAGAATCCAGGGTGGATTAAAAAATAAAAAATTATTAAAAAATAACGCGGACAGAAATATTTGGATAAGATAATCCCTCAATTATGGACACTTTTAAAGCAACTTATTTTCAAATGTTGATCACAGCATTTATGGAGGAATTCGAACTGGAATGATCCAAACTTGATTGATTTTTTCAATTGTGGATTATTATCTTGAGGGAAAACTGAGACAAGAATTTACAGACTGTATGATCATGCTTTTCCCACTTTTACTGAATTTTACTCAAAAATATCAAGTTCCTCATATTGGGTGTGTTGCATCCAAATTTATGCAGCTCCAGCATCCAGTTACAACCGGACCCAAAAATTTGTTCAATCTTGAGTCCATGACTCACTGAGCCTCACTCAAGGACAAGAAGTGGTTATCACTTCTTCAATTTTTCCTAAATGGGCCAATCCTGAGCCAGGAAGGAATCGCCTAATTTCTTCCTGACCCAGTCCAAGCACCTTGGTATAAAAACCTTCATTCCTCTTTGAGAGAAGAAGTCAAAACCTAGTTTTAAAGCGCCTTTTAACTTTAAAAACCTCATTCAATATTCTGAGCTAACCAACCAATTTTACCATTGACTCTATCATTACAACCATTGAATTAACAGCCAATTGATGAACTGGGCAATGAGAATGAACTCCTCTGAAAAGAGTTTGAGTTCTTATTCAAAACTTTCATTCTGATGGCTGCACAATCCAATTCCTTTGTCTGGAATCCAATGTACCCATGACAACGTGTGCCAAAAAAAAGAACCTTCATGACATCTTGTTTATGAAACATTACAGCCTTTTACGTACTCAACAGCTTTTTTTAAAGCATGTTTCTTTTTGGAAGTCATCTTGAAGCTAAATCAAACGCATGTCAACATAAAAAGGTAATTCAAAAAATAAGAAAACAATCAAATTTGTCAAGCATCAATAGAATTGATTTGTCCTGTTTATTGTACTCAAAGGCCAGCATAAGTCATTGCAGTTGGGCTTGCATCAGTTGGCTCCTCTTCGCTCATTTTGAATTGAACCAAAATGATGAGGAAAGTCGACAGCAGACCAAGCATCTGTTGGTTTTAAAATGTATATATACACTTATTTCTAAATTACATGTATAATTAAGAATAACTTACACCAGGCAGCATTGTTTTGGATAACCAGAAAAATCCTGCTGCTGAAATAGCAGGTGCCTTGTGAACCAGGATCTTTTCCAAGACCTTCTGACACTGACCTTCTTTGTCAATGTTGTATTCTTCTTTCCCTTGATATTTGAATGCTCCTTGAATCTTAAATCGCATTTTGGAATCCTGAAAACGCATACAATATTTGTCTTTTTTAGTTTGGAATAGCAGAAACTTTCATAACAAGTTTAATTCAATTTCAATTGATTTAAAAATTAGGTAAAATTTAGGAAATTCTCTGCACTATGAAGGAAAGTATCACAATTTTTAAAAAATTTCTGCATCAAACATTGCAAGAATATTATATACATTTATTTTCAAGCTGAATCAAAAATATCAACAGATTTCTGATTTGATGAGATTGAGCTGTGGAAAACTAAGACAAACTTCACAAAAGAGGTTATACATGTTGAAGCACTTCAAAAGGGAAATGATATACATTATCATTCATAAAATAGCTAGTTTAAAAAAGACAACTGATACAGAAACAGGCTGAAGACCTTGTGCTTTAAATAAACTTTTACTGCTGATGATATTCTCTGTACAACAAACTTTTTTGGCCTCATTGGGTTCTTTCACCATAATATAGGCCTTACTGGGTTTCTCTAAAGCAGAATGATCCCGATTACAATGTTTTCTGGTCCCTTGTGGGCTGAAAAGTGGGAAATAAAGTGTTCTGTTCATTCATTCATTCAAAAAGACAGTGACACATATGAAATACATATCTAAAAGCAAGTCTAGAAAAAGAGAAATTCTTCATAAGAATAAATAAAAGATATACGAGTTTCCAAGGAGCAAGCTTCCAAAAGATCATGTATACAGTATAATAAAAAATGTCCACTGAAAATATCATACATGGAAATAAGTCTCCTATAAACGCAAATCACAAATCAAGAAACAATTTTCAAACAAGCATACAATTTTTTTACATTTATATGCAATATATCTTATAATGTGCTTTTGTGTTCTGCATACTTAATTTTTCATTTTTTAAAAACTAATCTTTGCTGAATGTGCATCAAAAATATAGTTTTACAGATTATTATTTAAACTAAAACTGACATTCTCACTACATACCATTTCACACAGCTTGTCAGCGAAATGATGCATTTGCAGCAACAAAAACGCCTCATACATTGACATAACCAGGTGAAAAACGAGGTCAAGTAACCGTTTCCTGCTCAAAGAACTGTTTGCCAATTCGAGGACTCCATACAAGGAAATCACCACAGTCACAAAAAGTTCCAAACACGTGATTGCAATAGGGATCCCACAGGCCTTTGACATCACTTTTGAATATTTGAAACAATTTCTATAGGCTCCAAGAATTCCGATGCATTCACAATGGATTTCTTTGTGATGTGACCTGGACTTCAGAAGGATCTTGGCTCGATCTTTGAGAAATCCCAGGTAGTCAGTTGCGGTTTTTGACTTGAGTATGATGAATGTTGGATACACACCGAGGTGCATGAATGCAGTCACTTGAGAAATCCCCTGTATTTGATGACAATCACATCAGAAAACAATAAGTTTGATTGCAGAAATAATATTATGCAGTGAGACCCCAAAATGCAGACACCCTAACATATGGACAATTTGACGTGAGGACACTTTGAGCTTTTGAAAATATGATCCATAAATTATCATTGTGACATTTAACCCCAATTCAATTTGTAGATTTTAGTTTCTGCATTGTACAATATCAATGATATTTTAGTTTAAACCCGTGAAAATTAAATTCAGTTCAAAAAATTGTTTCATGTTTCCTAAACCCAAAGAGAAGAGAAGGTAAATAGAAACAAATTTTTCATTCCTAATTTCCATTCCATATAAGGCCAAGATACATTTTTGGCCTTATATGATTTCTCTTCAAAGATTCTCTCTAAATTGTTCATTGAACTAAAACTCATACAGATCCAGTTTTATTTTATTTTGTGGAGTGTGTTCTCTTCTGTTTTGGTCATTGGTTTGTGCTTTGTTTCATGATTTGAAGTGATTGAATGTCTTGGGGGGAGTTGACTTGGGTGGGGAGGGGGTTTGGATGTGGGAGTCTTGGTTGTGCCTTGTGAACGCTGAAAAGCGGCAAATAAAGTTTTCTGTTCATTCATTCATTCATTCCATTCCTACTCAATATTAGTTGAAGAATTTTCACTTAAAAAATAATACTGAAAAGAAGCCTGAAAACAAAGCAGAAATGATTGTCAAATAAATTCAGCCATCCAACCGCTTGCCATTTATTTCTACATGGAAAATAAATACAGTATTAGGTTATTGTAGCTCTCAGTTTTTTTTTCTTTTGGCTTCAGCATTTGGAAAACTTTGCAGGCAAAAATAAAAGCATGAATGTGTAACATCAACATTCATCCACGTGTTTTTTTTTTGAAAAGTTTCTTCAACTCACCACAAGAAAGGGTTCATCTTCTGAAGATCCATTCACAACATAAAACCAAATCACGACTCCATGGAATCCGAGGATCACCAAATACAACGAAACCATCCCTGCTTTTGGTTTTATTTCGCATCCAAATTTCTTTGCATCGGCGAGGAAATTCAATTCCATTCTGCCAAGTTTTTCAATTGATTTCCCTTTGTAAATGGTAGCACACAAGCAAACGATGAACCCAATGGAAATCACCGAATAGAACAAAAATCCTCCAATTGCCCAAGTTGACGAGGAATTATCCGTCATTCCTATTTCTTCGATAAAGTCCTTCCAACCTGAGGTTGAAAATTTGTAATTCTTTCCGATAATTTCGAAAGAAATTGGCAATTTTCGAATTGATTATACGGTAAAGTACTGTACCTTCGTTGATCATATTTATCCATACACCGAAGTAAAAGACTGAAATCAAATTGCAAACGGTGAACACAAAGCCAACTGACAACACATTGAATTCTGGGACTCCAGAAAATATGTTTCTCATCGGGAATAATCCACAAACGATCATTGGTACGTGGAAAAACCTGGAAATCGTGTCCAAATTTGCAAAACCTTTCCACATTCTCTTGTGGATCTCCATGATATGGCAAATTCAGCACTGAAATCCGTGTGTGCATCATTCCTGTAATATTATTTCCCTTTCCAATCTTTGATTCTTTTTGGATCATTGGTTGTGTTATCTTATCTGCTGAAAAAGGAAGCAGATGGTGTTCATGGTATGAATGATGAAACAAGAGGTCAGAAAAGAATATTTATTATTTGTATTTTCCAGTTGCCTGGAAAATGTTGCTGTCAATGTCTCTCCTGAATGAAAATGTATAATGGGTTTTTCTCTACATTGTCCAAAGGGTCCAGGGATATTTTCTATGGAGAGAGAATTTCATTTTTTTAAAGATAATTGTGATTTTGTTGAATCAAGTGAATTATAAGCTGATCTTGCTTGTGGCAAAACTAAACCATTAATATTTGTATCATCTAACATCCCCTTTGTATATGATACCATAGCTCTTTTGACAAATTTATGGCACTTTATTATTAAATTCATTGCATTTTCAAAGGTGTCTAAATGGTGCAATTACAGCAGTATAAATATATTGGTTGATGCATCACCAGAGAATCTTCTTTTCTTATTCCCATCATTCCACATCTACAAAAATGAGCTGAAAAAAGATTTGGGACAATGAAAATTCAATGAAAAAATCCTTTCTAAAATCCTAGAGGACCAAGACAAACTCTTAACCTTATATGATTTCTCATCAAAAATTCTCTCTTAATTATTTATTCAACTAAACCTTATCTGAGAACAGGCTGAAGACCTTGTGCTTTAAATTGGGTTCAGTAATTGGGTTGCAATCCTTATTCCTGATATCTTGTTTTTGTGCAGTGAAGGAAGGGGGTGTAGGCATTCACACCAGTTGTGCAGATGTACATTGTGTAATGTATTTTCTTTTATTTTGGCATCCACATCCAACTTACTTCTCTGTTCTCCCTTATGAAGAAATTGAAAGCCTTTGGAAGGATTTGAGCTGAGCACGGGTTTCAATGTGGGAATGTTGTGTGAACCTTGTGAATGCTGAAAAGCAGAAAATAAAGCTTCCTGTTCAATTAAATTCAAATGTATTGTAGAGAGGATTTTTTTGCAGCTAAGAGAGAATTTCAATGGGGAGCTGGGAAATTTAGTTGCTGACAGAATTTTCTTCTTATGAGAAACATCTTTGTGGAGAAAATTTTGCCACAGAGAGAATTTTGTTGCATATATAATTTCATTGCAAGTAGAATTTTGTTGTAGACAGAACTTCATGGTAGGAAATATTTTTATATAGAATATTTAGTTGCATAGCTAATTAATTTGCAGAAAAAATTTAATTGTTGAAATAAATTATTTTTAGAGAGAATTTTGATGTACACAGAATATTGTTGTAGAGAGACTTTACTTGTAGACAGAATTCAGTTGTAGACAATTTCCTTGTAGGGGTGGAATTCAGGTGTAGCGGGAATATTAGTGTAGCAAAAATATATGTGCTGTTGTGGGTTGACTAGATGTTGCCTGCAGTGCAAGGTACAGCAAGTATGAAAGTACAATGCAGTGTACAAAAGGCCATTTTGTATGCAAAAACAAATGCCAGAAAATACTAACATGAATAAAAGCATGATTTTAAAGAATTCCAAACACAATCAACCCTAAAGTTAATGATCTTCAGGAATCAGTCCATCAAGTGAATCATTTGATCAAAGGAATTCTCAAGAAATATACACACCATAAATTAGTCACGCCCCAGTGAAAACCTTGGAGAAGCTTTCCACTGGGGAGGACCTAGAACTTTGCAAATTCATCAGAAGAAGTCCTCAATCCTGCTGTGAACTTTGGAGAAACAAGACCAGCTTTTTGTGTGTGACATATTTTGGTTAGAAACATTTGTGGACTTGGACATACATAGACATAGAGGAGTTTGAAACCCTCAGCACACAAATGGCTAATTGTGCATAACCATTCATTCATCTATAAACAATTCTTTGTTGTGAGGTTGTAGGGACCCCCAACATTTGTAGAGAAAAGTTTTCTTCAAAGGGAATATTATTGTTGTAGATCAGAGTTAGTTTTAGAGATAATTTAGTTGTACAATACAGAGAAATCTGTTGAAGAGTCATTGAAGAGTGAACATTGTTGTAATGTAGATCATTGCTTTTGTTATTTTTGAACATTGGTTATTTCATCTCATCCCCTGAAAAAAAAGACAACACATGGCGTTCATGGAATGACTGAAGAAACAATATAAAGTCAGAAATATTTTTTGCATTTCCAGTACTGATCTTTTACAACGACAGCTACTGAAACGACTCACGTTAACGCTGATCAACATAGAACTCAGCCAGAAGTAACTCCAGTTAATGACAATTAAAGGACGACCGACTACTTATGGAGAGGTGGTCGTTCTGCATGAAGTTCATGGCTCTGGAACGTTTCAGCAAAGCAGTCTGAAACAATTTTTAAAAAATATGCGACATGATAAATTCAATTTGGAAATTTCTGAAAATCATCTACTGGACGAATAACGATTTTTTTTGTTCATAAGTTGGTGACTTACGTTTTCAAAGTAAGGGTGGTTCTCGTAAAGTAGAAAAAGGGTAAAGGAAAGCGTCCCCATATGGGAATCTTGACTTTTTTATCTGCCTCAACATCTGGATTGACTCAAAATATGGACACTTATTTCAAGACATTCTGAAAAAAGTTAAAAACGATATCCTCATGAATATTCATATCTTGGTAAGAAATTGAGCTAATTACATTCACAAGTGTTTAAAGATTAATCACAGTATAAGCACAATTTTATGATAAAAATCTGGTTAATTTTGTGCTTTCTCAAGATTTTTTCCTCATTTGGTGAAGTAAAGCAAGACTTCTTGTTGTTCTTTGCTTTCTTGAGCTCATTCTGTGGCCAAAAGATGAGATGCTGTGTGGTTTTCTTTACATGACATGTAAATAAAAGACATAGAGTTTTCACTCTTTTTCAACATAAGGTAAAACCCCTGAATTAACTCAAATAACGATATTGCAAACTACTTGTCCACTTGGTTAAATTATACAAAGGTAATTTGTCTATGAAAAAATAGATCTTTCATATGCTGTACACTCTGCGAAGACTTTATTCCTGTTCCATGTTATTATATGTTAGTTCGGTTTTAGAGTCAGAGAGTCACATATATATCTGACCTTGATCTCCACGTGTTTATAGGTTATTATCCCTCTTCCCCTAGGTCAAAATGCATTTGTTTCAGAATTTCGACTCGGTGCATGTAGGAATATTTTAATGACATTACTTGCATTTCTCTCTTCATGAATTACCTCTCTTGTGGCAGGTAGAGGTTGATAAGACAAAGCCTCTCTGCCAATAGCTTCTTGCAGCAAATCAGGACTTGTAGACTCTGCTAATGTCATTTTGTCAGCTGCACTTGCAACCTTTTCTTCCCCAGGTTTCTTTTGGTCTTCACAAGGCTCCAGCACAGCTGAGACTTGACAGTATAACTGGAGTATTTTATCTCTGGACTGACAAGAAAAGACCAGTTGACTGAGGTGGGTGAATGCCTCTGCTGCAAGAGTGACATCTTCTGGTTCCACCTGAAGGAATAAATTGTATTGGACCATCAACCTGCACAAAATGTTCTTACTTTGTGCAACAGCTAGACTATATTCTGTTGTGTAACAAGTCTGTTATGCAAATTCAAATATTAAAAATAATTTTTTTGCCTTTTACCATTATTTTGAACCATACAGAAGTCTGTTATGTAGATTTATTCTGTTGCATGGGAGAGAATAGAGGTGGTCTGTTGTAAAACAATGTTTTGTGTGGGAGGTCTGTTGTGTAGGGGTCAACTGAATCATTGTATATATACCAATTAAAGAGCAGTATTTCATTTTTTAGTTTGGTTGAAATCAAGAATCCATGAGAAATATGCTGATGACAGGAAATTGACTTACATTTACAACTGCATAGTTTATTTAGCTATGAAGTATTGCTAGGATTAGTTTCCTTGGTTTCAGCCAGTTGAGCAGTTTTTACCCCACAGCAGTTATACCATATTTACTTGGGTACCATGCCCACCTTTTTTCTCAAATTTCAGAAGAAAAAGACTGGTGCATGTCATAAGGGGACACATTTTTCAAGAAGTTTTAGGAAGTTATGCATGCATTATACTTAATTATAAAGGAGGAATTTTGAACAAGTGTAACAAGGAAACTTTTTTGTACTGGAAAAGTTGAAAATGGATCAAATTTTTGTTCAATTCATGTCTAAAGTCAAATTTTTAAAATTTATTTTTGAAATTTTGGGGTTTTAGATTCACTAAAAATTGGGGTGCAAGTCTTACTTGGGTATAAGATTTTAGCCAAATTTCCAACTGAAAACCCCCTGTGCACGCATTACTTGAGGGCACGTGGTACTCAAGTAAATAGGGATATTGGGCTTTTTCACTGTTTCTGGCATTTCTTCATATTTAATCAGCCTGTTTTTCATCCTGAAGCATCTTTTCAAAAACTAAATGATTTTTTATCCAAGGCAAAATTAAAGTACTGCATAGTACTGCTGCATTTTCAAAATTAACTCACAGGTTTCCCATTGATGGTCTTCAATCCTCTGCAGCCAAGTCTATAGATTGCATATAATTTCCACTGAGGGTGTTGCACAATGGAATTCCCTTCCTTGGATATGTACAATGAATGCATTTTTTGAAATGCTGCCAATCCATTCAATTGACCCAGCCGGTCAAGACAGGTTTCTTGAAAGTGAAACTCCACCAAGTTGGGGAATTTTTCCCTGAACTTTGGATATAGGGCAACTAGATCATCATGTTGGATGAATTGAAACTTGGCCTTTGTGACTGACTGAGCAGCTTCAGATATCCACTTGGCTTCCAGGCACTTCAAAGAGTCCTGGCCAAAAAGGCTCAGGACTCCATCAGTGATTTCAACAACAAAATCCTTCCCCTGGCCACATACAACTTGCATCTTCATCAAAAAAATCTACAGAAAAATGCAGAAATAAATCACCTGCTTGTAAGTCTTGTTATTTGTAATGGTCCCCTGTTTCCCAGGGTTGGGATCAGGTTCCAGCTGGAAAGCAATTTCAGGTTTGATTTCCTGTCTATGGTTTTCCTTTGTGTGAGAAGTTGCATCACTTGTTGCACCATTGTCTTCTGAGTCAGTGTTTGATTCATTGCTGGAGTCATCTGAGCTTGACTGAGAATCATCCATGCCCTTCCTCAAATTGTTCTGTCTTGGCTTGGTCAGTCTTTTGAGTTCAGCTCTGTTGGACTTGGTTAGGAATTTGAGCATGTGAGACACCGTTTTGATGCTATGGTGATTTTCAACTTGCTGTGGGAGAAAAAAAAACAACATGAGCATATCTTAGACTTTAGAAAAAATGTCGTTTATAGGAAGACCCTGGTCTTTTCTTCCAAACATTGTTTTTATTAAAGACCTGTCTAGGGTAACTCTTGTAGTCCACCGAAAAAAATTTAGGGTGAAAAACACAAATCAGAGCTTTACCAAACATTCAGTAACAAAGTTGTTCAGTGGAATGCCACAAAAAAATTCCCCTTACCAAACCCAACAAACTTTCCTCCTAAAAACCAGTATCTAACACATGTCTGCACTTTGGCAAACAGTTTTGGCAGTTCTATTTTCACTATATATGATTTCACAAATGCTCCCTTCAAAGAAAATAAATATCCTTAAATTTAATGGATTGATTATATTATTTCCAAATATAAAAAGTTGAGATCTGCTACCCAGAACACTGTTGTTGTAATGAATCTTGAAAATTTTCTGTGATTGACATTTTAAAACATTAAAAATGAGTTTTTGTCCATACAAATACATTCTTATAACATCCTTACAAGTATATATGCACAAGCAAGTCACAAAAATTGAATGAAAATTATCTGGTCTTCCTATACCATCCAACAGACTTTTCTTTATCAATCAAGGGACTATGAACACCCAACAAATCTTACAGTTATTATCTCTCATCTGCAACAACTTTGTCTAAAAAAATTATCTCACTAAACAATTCATCTTGGTCCCATATGGATTTCTCAACCATCTTCAATTCAGGCTCACTACAACCAAATTCAGTTTGAATTCCCAAAATTAATGTATATCAAGTTGATCTCAATGTAAAATTAATATCTGACTCACTTGCAAGTTTTGGAGCTTTGGGTGACTCTTGTTCAGAATTTGCGAATTCAGAAATGCCTTTGCCAGAAGGGATGAGGTCCCAGCAGAACCAGACGGG